CTTGGCTCCTCCCTTCTTCCTCCAGGCAGGCACATTAGCAGAAGCCTGTCCCACAGGGGCTGTGGTGTGATCGACAATGTTGCATAGAGCCATTACCAAGCCGGCTCCATTTCCCCATGCTCTGCTTAGCAGGGCTGAGCTTTTTACTCTGACAGCAGCAAGGGCTGGAAGGGGAGGGGCTGAGCTTCAGGCCCCAGAGAAGCAGGGAAAGGAGGATACAGCTTCAGTCACTCACGAGGAGGAGAGGGAAGCACACGAGCAGCAATGCACCCCCTCGCACAGCGAGAACATCACCCCACTCTGCTCCACGCCGGCCTCCCTCCCAGCATTCACTTTGCCTCATCCTTCTATTTCAATTAGTAACAAATGATTCCTAATTACTCTCATTAGTGCCTGTGCTGATTCCAATGCCTGATTTACCAATTACCACTCTTATGGAATTGCTGGCTGGGGTGAAGCACACAGGCTCCCTGGGACAAGGAGCGGGGGTTAATCTGCTGGGAAAGGGAAAACACCCCCCACTTTCCTTGATCCTAATGTACCATGTTGAGTCTAAGGGACAAGGCAGCAGAGCACTTGGGGATTCAATGCAAACCCTGTGAGCCTGCCTGCCCCCCCCCCCGCCCAGCCCACCTAAGAAAAAAAAACTCCCTGGAGCGCCAGCAGCAAGGGCAAGAGCCCTGATGTGAAGTGCAGGGATGATGTCCCAAGCATGCCCCCCAGCCCCAATCAATGAAAGAAAAAAAACAAACTCCCCACTGACTTCACTGGGGCATGGCTTGTCCATGTCTCAACAATTGAGGCTCAAGAGCTGGGAGAGGCCCAGAAGTGCTCCCAGGGTGGGTTGCAGAGGGGACCTGTGGTATCCAGAGCTATATTTCAGAATGAAAACGTCCCCTTCCTCAGCACCAACCTCAGACAAGACCTGGAGCTGCAGCTGGACTAGCACCCTGGCATCGCAACAGGGAGACAAGCAGGGGAGGGGGGCAGGCAAGAAACACTTTAGTTCCAGGAAGGAAAATTCACTAAGCAATGCTGTGAGAGGCAAGGCAAATTTTCAGCGGAGTCATGGCTTGGGAGCAGGCATAATGCAGAGCAAGAGGAGAAATCCTCCACATTTCCTAATGCTCCCAATTTCTGACCTACACTTAGTAGAAAAAACTGGAGACCTTAAAGGGAAAAGAAAAGGTGGGGGGGGGGGGGGGGAAGAAGAATAACAAACACAGAACAGATGGACGTGCGGAGATGAACAAACACAGGGAGGCATCAGGCATTGCCTGTCTCCAACCAGCCCTGCTGTAGCAGAGGAAATAAGGTGGAAGGCTTGACACTCCCCTCCACCAGAGCAATTTGATGGTTATTCCTGATTTACACCCAAGGTAAAGGAAGTGGAGTTTAGCAGCTGAGCATTTTCTCCAGAGCCCGCTTCTCAGCCCCTCCTGCCACCATCTGGAGAGAAAAAACCTTGAGCAAGTCCCAGCAGCTGAACCGGGGGAGGCATCTCAGTCCATGGGGTACAGTGCACTGGAGGGGCCTAGCACCTCTGCACAGGTTAAGCCTTGCCAGAAGGAAGATGAACCGAAGTAGGGATTGGGGAGGGTGAGGGAAAACAGGCAGAGGAAGGGAAATGAGAGCAAGGAGACCCTGGCTCTGGAGCAGGGAGCTGCTTGCCTCGCTCCCAGGAGCCCTCCCAGCTCTCACACGCAGAAGGGAGGAAGATCAAGTGGCGCCCTGTTCCCTCTGGTTGCCTCCAGCAGCTCAGATAGGAGGAACAGAATTGCTAAGGCCGCCAGGAAATGGACAGAGGAGGGAAATGCTGAGGCAGCATCAGCGGCTCCAGACATAGCAGCAACCTCAGGACCGGCGGGACCGTCCGCAGAGACCTCGATTGCACTGTAGTCGAAGCAGCCACGTGGGAATAGCGATGCGTCACAGCTATCGACAGCGCCCCCAGACTGACAGCGAGATCTGCTCTCCAGGGAGCTGGGGAGGAATCCCCGTCAGCCTCAGGGGTCCCTAGTTGATACAACACAAAGCCAAGGACTGCATGGAGGAACTGCTTCTGCACTGAAGTAGAAGACCCTGCAACTCATCCCACCAGTGATAAGTCAGGCTCCCGATGCAGAATTAGCCGGAGTTAAGTTTCCAACCACCCCGCAGGCCAAGAACTTACCTTGTATTTCCCACCAGCACCCAAGAGGTCTCCTTCTTTCAGCCAGGTGACGATAGGCTTGGGGTTCCCAAAAGCCATGCAGGTCAGAGTGATGCTGCTGCCTTCCTTTGCCTCTACGTACTGCGGGGGAGTTTCCGTGAAGGTGGGGGGAGCTGCAGGGGGCAGAGACAGACCAACATGACCCTTGCTGCAAGGCGGCGGTCCATGCAAGGCAACAACATCATTGTCCAAGTGGGCTTTCAGAGCCGGGTGTGCTACACTGAACCATCACATATGTACCCATGACGTCGAGCACCAAATGTAATACAGCCACCTACAACAGCCCTTTCACTATACCAGCAGTGCTTAACAGTTCCTTCCCCTAGAGAAGCTCTCACCAAGACAGTCAGCACTTCCCAGTGTTTGGCTGCTAATGACAGGAGCCTCCGTTTTTATTCAGATACTTTGAGAGCCCTCCACAGCGCACCAACAGAGCAGATGAAGTCACAGGAGCTCGGATTACCCCCACATCACCCAGAAACAGAAGCACTTGAAGATCAGCGGCCCCTTTTGAAAAACCAGCCGCAGCGATTAAGCCCCACCACTCTCCTGTGAGCACTTCTGGCCCGGAGGAAACAGGGAGGTAGAGAGGTAAAATATAACCAGCCGGAGGCCACGCAGCCGGTGAGCCACATGGCTGGTCTAAGAGCCTCCTCGCTCCCAGCCCTGGGCTCTGGCATGTTAGTGCACTCTTCAGCTCTGTATTTCTTCTCCCATTATGCATTAACTTGCTATTGTCACAACACATGAAAACACTGCAGTGCAGATCGCAAGTCTCCTTCTGATTAAAGAGGCTGGCAGTATTATAGTACACTCCTAATTATCAGGAGCTGCTAAACCAGCTTTCCAGGAAGACACAGCGGCAATTTAATCAGCTCCAAGAAGAATTAGATTTTGTTTCACCCGAAAATGAATCTTGTCCCCCATAAGAAAATGAAGTGGTCCAATGCGATCTAGAAGGGCTGAAGCCCGCCCTCAAACTCATTCTGCTGATACTGTACAACTGGGAGAGGTTATTAACATTATTATTTGGCCACTGGTTATTGAGTGCTCAGTGCTATACAGCCCCAGAGGAGGACAGGGAGACAAAGCTACTGAGCATGTAGGGGACCCTCTGTGAGGAAGGCTTATCGATTATCCTAGCAAAAAGGATTGCTTTTAAAGCACAGTGTGCAAGGGAAACTATGGAGCCTTCCAGGGCCTGCCCTTCACCCTTGAAGGAGAAGAGGGTCTCATCAGACTTAGCCATGCCATGAGGAGAAAGGGAGAGGAATTAGCCCAGAAGCACCTTCTGTTGGTGCTACAGGATCTGCAGTCAGCAGACCTGAAGCCTCGTTAGTTGTTGAGTCTGACAAGACAGACTCCCAACGCCTGGGGTGAATAAGCCAGCTACAAGTTGGTTTACTTTTGCACTTCATTAGGTTCGGACAATGAAACAGCAGTGGTAAGCTTCCCTTCCTTGTTCTGGTCTTCATGTACAGCCAAGGCACTGTGGGGTTTGGCCTTCTGTGTACACTGAAAATCATGCAGCTTTGATAGTAGTTGAGAGTTTTACTCTTCAACAGTCTCTCAATCTTAAGCACACCTCCAAACAGCTCCATAACCAGATTATTATGACCCTCCCATGATTTCCTAGACCTTAGGGCTGGAAGGGACCTCAAAGATCATCAAGTCCAGCCCCCTGCCCCAGGGGCAGGAAGTCAGCTAGGGTCAAAGGATCCCAGCAAGATAAGCATCTAAGCGATTTCTGAATGAGTCCAGAGTAGGTGCTCACACCACTTCTGGAGGGAGTCTATTCCAGGTCTTGGGGGCTCGGATCAACTCCCACGGCTTTTGTTTTAATTTCTGCAAATGGAAGCAAACAAAGCCAGGCAGGCATGAAATGAATGGACATGAATGATTTCAGGGATGAAGGCACCCCATAGGGAATATGGGCTCTGAGTTGCATCAACTAGAATACTTTCTAATTTCGGGTACCTTGCATTCTTGGTTCCCAGCTTGGAGGTGTGGGTCACTCCCACAATCAGTCAAGCCCTAATCATTTTAAGCTGTGCCTGTGAACCCAAATGCAGAACCACCTGGACTGTGAAGCCAAACCAGGAAGAGCCAGCCTTCATCTCTCTGCTTCCACCCTCTCCTCCTCCTCCTTCAAGCAGGAATAGTTCTAGTGCCTTTCACAGGTACTGCAAGAAGCTGATTTAATTAGAGCTGAGCTCTGCTGTCTACTGCGCCTCTGAACTCAGCTGCTAGGAGCAGCACAGGCCCTGGGAGCACAATCTGCCCTTTGTGCAAAACACTCCAAGGCATTTGGCTAAAAGGTGTTATGCAAACGCAAGGGGCTTATTAACAAAAGCAGGACAGGCTGCTCTGTTCCAATGATCCAGCCCCCAAGCTGTGCCCGGTCTCTTCTATAGGCAGCAAAAACAATTCAAAGATGCCACTAATCTTTCTTTGTTTCTTCTGCCTGCCCTCCCCTAGCATCTTCCACCCAGTGATGTCAAAGTGTTTCACAAGCCGTCAAGGAATCTGGTGTTACAACAGCCCAGGGAGATAAGATCACTCCCATTTCACAGCCAAGGAAGCTGAGGAACAGAAAACCAGCTGCAGAACCAAGAACAGACTCAGGGAGCCTTGGCCCCAAGTCTCCTGCTCTAGTCATTATGTCCAAAATGGGCAGACAATCTCAATGTTACTTATTCAAAGCTAAAAATAGCCCTTCTCCCGATGTGACAAATTACAAACTGCTTTATAATGAGGTAGGAAGGAAAAATAAGAAGTCCTTTCAGGAAATCAGAGTTAAGAAAAATAAAGATATGATTTTCTAATTTACTGAAACAGGCAATTTTCCCCTGACATGTTACCGATTCCCCTCCCCCCTCTCTTTCAAGTTCTACATAATTAAACTGTAATTACTAATAAAAGTTAGTCTGTTCTGTAAGTAATGTTCTTACTTAAAATAAAGCCTGGATTTTTTTTTTTTTTTTACTTTTTAAAGATGAAGATGTAATTGAGGCTCACTCGCAAGCAGAGATTAAGAAGAAATTCACACTGGTATATATTTGGAGCTCATTGCTGGAGTGATGTGCCTGGTGCTTCTGCTTTCCTTGCTTCCTTTCTCTCTACTGGACAAAACACTGAAGATGGGCTCTTGTAGTTCTCGGCATCCCCTTGAAGCTTTGTCACCGTACCTCTGTACTAAGCAGTAAGTACATTGGCAGAAACTATTTGTTCTTCCCAGTTTCTGCTATGCAAAGAGGAAGGTTCCTCTTAGGGGCCGGGTAAAACCAGATTGCTACTTGTTCTGGGAATCAGACTCAGATCACTCTTCCCAATGTTCACTAGGAACAAGGTACTGCCCTTATTTCTCTCAAATGGGATTTTTAACTAGGGCCAAGAGCTTTGCAGAGGACCAAGCAAGCCTTTGTTGCTTACCCAATATTGTGTTAGGGGATGCTCAGCAGCAGGCAGGAGATATTAAAATAGGATCCCAGTCACAAGTGGTCCTTAAGAGGTGCTGGGGGATCAGCACCTGCTCCTCAGTGGTCCTACAAGGGCAAAGCAGCACCAAGCAGGCAGGGGGCATGCAGGATTCTTCCAAAAAGACCGCAGCATCCCAGTCTGTCCCCAGCTCCCTGGTGCACCAAATCCTGATCCCCATGTTATAGCAGTCCAAGGCTCCCAGAGCTGTACCACTCCCCCTCAGTCCTCACCTGCCCCATCCTCTACTCTCCACATGCAGCCTCCCCCACATCTCTGCCAGCTCCGACTGCAGCAGCCGGCGGGAAGAAGCTGCCAATTCTGGACACGCTTGTTACCTCATCAGGCCTCAAATCCACGTGCTCAAGGTGCACAAAAGCAGCCTCCTATGCTTTAGGCTGCAATAAAATCCAGCAGGACCACTGATGTTCACATGGCCGGAGAACACACTAGATGTTCAGAAATCTAATCACAGCATTAAATGCAAGGTCAGAGACCAAACACATGGGAGGGTTTCTAGAAACCCAGGCAGCCAGATTCCAGTCCCCTCACCCATATGGCATCCTGCCTTCCTGCATGCAAGTCTCCTCTGAAACCAGAGACTCCTGGCTGCAACAGAGCTGCCCAGCATGTGGTACACGCTGTGCTTCATGATCATGCTGCAATGCACTCCCTCTACCTTGCCCTGCACGCATCCTGCTGGCTGCAAATGAATAGAGGGATGAATGGAAGCACGTTCTTTATCACACTCTTTTCTTTCCATCCACTCAGAACTTGGCATCCAAATCCCCAGTCTCAACGGCTCAGCAACTGGCTTTTTATCCCAGGGACCCGAAGAGAAGGCCTATGAAATACAATGCACTTGAACTTGCAGTCTCCAAATGTTGCTTTTAAAAAGACTAACAGAGCCCTCAAAAGAAAGCAGCTTCTCAGAACCATAATTAAACCATAGCTCTGAGCTCTTCTATAGATGTAGCTTCAGCTGAATAAAAAAAGTCAGTTCTCAATTTGGTTTGGTTAAATTGGAGCAAACTTGTGTGGACAGTTATTAGGAGCCCTGAGACATGCTAGATCCCCCCTGCTGTCAAGGCATCTGCTAGCAGCCCTTGGGCAGCTGCCTCCCCACCGCTGTTTCTGGCCCAGTTAGAGAGAACCCTCGAGTTACAAAGCAAACGCTATGCAGTTGACCACAGGAAAAAAATCAAGGTACTAAGCAGACAACAGGGCTGAAAGTAGCATTTAAGTAGCTGATGCACTAAGCCAATGTGCAAACTACAGGCCCCAACAGGTCAATGCCCCTGCCAGCTTATTGTTTAGCCGCTGGAAGCTAGCAGGAAGTATGTTTGGAGCCATTCTGTGGATCCTGCTTTTTGCCCCCCTGAAATCCTCCTGTGAAGTTTGCTAAAAATGGTCCTGTCAAAATCTCAGTCTGAGCACCTGTTCCCATCTGCAGAATCACTTTCTGTTCCATCCCACTCAGCCCTGTCAAGTATGTCCATGCTCCTTGTGCTAACGAAGCACCAGGCCGCTCCAGCTTCCGCACGGCCACAGCCTGGCTGAGAAAATAAGTCAGATCTTCCACAGCTGGGTTACTCCCTGGCTCAACCGACTAGTTCCCGATTGCTCCTGGCTGGTAGGTCACTTTAGTATCCAACCTTGATCTAGCCCAGCTCGCCTTCAATACTCCAAAGTTAGCTGCCCATCTTTAAGGTGATCCATCTTACTCAGAAGAGAGAGTAGGAGCCCCCCTCATCAGCAATGAGCTTAGAGCTTCTTCCCTCCATCGCCAGGGAGATTCACAACTGTAGCACAAGAAAGAAAACCCAGAGGAGCAGAAAGCGTAACCAACAGGCTGGCAGTGACTTGCTCTTGGCTCTGCAGGTTTGGGCTGTGACCAAACTGTAGGAGGGGGAAGGAGGCTCTTCAAGGAAAGGCTGCATGCAAGGAAGTACAGAGGGTGGTGTTGCTGACTCCAGAAGCTTTCCCTGCTGAATCAGTTTGGGGCCCAGAAAGCTTCCTGGGCTCCACAGCCTGCCAGGCTGCTCACTAGGCTATTTTCAGATGAGATGCAAAGGATTAGGTCCCAATCAGCTACAGTCACTAGAGCACACCTAGGGCACTGGAAACGAGTCAGGGTGCTCGCCTGGGTGCTCCAGGGACCATCTCTTCTACTACCCAGACTCTCTCTCAGCTGCCTGACCTAACACTGGACTCTGCCGCACTTCCTAAATGCTCACACTAAGATGTTATTAAACAGCTGCAGCTTTCACCCCCGGAGCTGGCTGCATTGAAAGACTGATGGTAGAAACAAGTGTCCTTCCCTTGTTTCAGAAGTGTAGGAGGCTTAACCAATTAGTTGGCGGTGGCCTGAGTGGATAGTGTTGCAATAGCACACAGGAGGCCTGGCTCAGCTGGGTGACCTTAGGTGGGTCACATCATGGCTCTGTGCCTCAGTTTCCATATTTCTCAAATGGGGATAACTATGCTTTGTAGAAGGATTTTGAGATGTATGGAAATGCTAAAGTGGAGAGTTGGAGCCCTCCCCCCATAAAGTCTCCACTGAAGATCTCCCCCCAGCCCAACTTTCACTGTTTGCGCTTTGTTTGCTGAGCAGGATCTCAGAAGTGGCAGCCGATGAGGCCCTGGGGCATGTTTGCAATGGATGGCTCTTCTCCACCTAGCTTGGGGGATGGGGCTTGTCATGGGGGACAAGAACTGCTAGCTGCCAGCTTCAGAAGATCTCTGAAGGAGCTGGGAGACAACTGGGGCAGGAGGGGCTCTGACTCCAGCCCACCTCCATGTGCATCACAGGTGCACAGTACAGACATGGCACAAGACAGGAGCCTGGCAATTCCCAGGACTCTGCCCAGCCAAGCCCAGAGGGAGCAGCCACCCTATCCCTTCCCCCCCAAAACACTTACCATTGACTGTGAGGTGAACCCAGCTGCCGTTGTGGAAGGTGTCGTACTGCTGATCCAGCATGAGCACTTTGCACTCATACCAGCCCTGATCCTCAGAGCGAATCTGCTCGATGCGCAGAGACGCCTTGTCGTGAAGGCTGGCACGGCCTGGAGAGACAAGAGCCACAGGAGTCAGCTTGTCCTGGGAAGAGGCACTTCTGGGGTCTTTCTGCGGTGCCCCTGCCACCCACCCTCCCAAAACATCCTACCAGGGCATCCCACAGGCCCATCCTCCCCAAAACCCTGGGAGTGCTCCATCTGCCATACCCCCCTGCACACACAGACCCCAGCTCAGAGCACTCTGGCCTCTGCCTTGCACTTCCAGCTCAGACCCACTGCCCTGATGGGCTGCTCAGGGCAGCCTGGATAAATAAGCAGCCAGGGAGCAAGGGGTGATTCAGCATATTGCCCCCTCTTAGCCAGCTGCTTTTGTGGGGAGCTACTGGAGTCCCACCTCCTTAGCTGCAAGACAGGGCAGGAAGTACAGCAAGAAAACTCAGGAGCTGCAGCCTTGTCCTCTTCCTCTCCTCACCACCATGCCAAGGTTCCCACTGCAACTAGCTCCCCCTCGTCTCTCCTCTTCCATTGGCAACCCCAGTCTCCCAGCAGCTGAGTACCTGAGGTGCTGCAGTTGGCAGCCAGACCCCCTGCCCCCTTCCTAATCCCTGCCCAGGGAGTGGGATGTAAAGCCATCTCTAGGCCAGCATGTCCTGGACACCCCTCTGCCAGGCAGTTTAGGGGTATGCTGCCACAAACAATGTGTGGAAACTGGTCCTCACCCTTCCAAGCGAGGGTCACCATCACTGCCTGGGACCTTCAGGCAAGCAGAGCAGGCTCTGGGCCCAGAGGAACCACACTGGTCTCCAGCATGCTTTGCCGTTCTCTGACATGTCACCATCTCTCCCCCTTGCTGGGCAGATGTTGCCCCCATTTTATTGAGGTGTGCAGAGAAGCAGCAGCTGCCCCCAACTTGAATAGCCAAGAGGCAGAGAGCGCAGGAGCTGTGCCTCCCTGCTGAACCACCCCACCTCGCTTCTCTCCACTGAAGTCCAGCCCTGCCACTGGGCACAGGACCAAACCTTTTCACAAGGCGACAGGGATTCTCACTCTGCGATACCTCGGTCCCAATTTTCCAAGGCAGTGAACACCCACAATACCTCTGCCAAGTCACAGTCGCGACCCCAAGAGCCATGTCCTTTCTTTGAGCCAGCATCCATAGCCACAGCTAAAAGAAGGACAGAGACTGGCAGCAGAGAGGCCAAGGATGGAGCACAAAGAGCTAAGCCCACTAGCCAGGACAATCCATCCAGGGAAGGCAGGGCAGGCCTGCCTGGCTCTGTCCGAGGGATGAACAGGACATCAGTCCAGCCCAGAAGCTGTGGTATGATCAGAGGCAGCCTAATGGACCAATTAATATTCTTGAACAAGTCGGGGCACTCCCAGCAGCTTATGGCTACAGCAGATCAACCATCTAGGCCTGGTGGCTGCAGCAGACTGGGAGCATGCCAGTGACCTAGGACCTTGGAAACAGCAGCACGCTGAGCAGGCACCCACCACCCCCACCCCACCACTGCTTCAAGTCACTGCAGGTGCTCAACAGTAGGAGGGACGCTGCTCCAGCCAGCCAGCTCCCAAGCTGGGGATTTCCAGAGACAGGGGTGCAGCCTGGTGCTAGCAGCCCCAGGCTCTGCCCACCGCCCCAGCTGGAGACAGGGATGGAGAGGAGATATCCAGCAGCAGTACCAACACTTGCAAAGCGGGGCTTATTCCCCTCACATCAAGTTAAGCCCGTGGG